GAGAGGTAATAATAAGAAGAAGAAGAGATAGAGGTGAGTGCATGAGAACATGAGAGTGGTTGGTTAGATGTTGAGTAATTTCCTAATTATCCCATAAAAAAAAATGAGGTGTCAAGGCATTATAATCCCCATTAATCCCTTTTTTCTATTCTTTTTTTTTGTTCTTTTTGTTTTGCATGTGTATATGTATGTATATGTGTATGAATGTGTGTATGTGTGTGTGTATATATATATATATATATATATGTGTGTGTGTGTGTGTATGGGCCGATTTTGTTCGGATTTAAAAGGAAAGAATGGGCTTTCTTGGGCGATTCATAACTTTGTTCGAATTTTATAGACCCATAATTACTTCTCGGCCCATTGGGCTTCTTTGGATGGTTCACAGCCCAATTAGCATAAAAGGATGGGTTTTATGGCCTATTAGGGCTAATTACATTAGTTATGGTCCAACAAGGCTCATTAAAGTAATTTATTCCATTTTAGGCCCAATATGGCCCAAAATGTTAAATCTCATGAAGATGGGTCTAATTAGAGCCCATTTAAGGGTCCTTGGCCCAAAATAGTCGGTTTGGATACTTATTGGCCGAGTAGGCCCAATAAGAATGTCCTAACCCATAATAGACTTGAACCAAAATATTTAGTGTTTCAAACTCTTTGTTGAAGATGAGAGATGTATTTGAACGACCATAGAGGATGTACTCTCTCAGATTACAAGTTATTACACTAGGTGAGTGATTAACTGAGAGTAGAATTTCCTAGTAAAAATGCTAGTTGTGACAAAGAATCATATAAGAAAGCTTTGATGTGAAATTTGATACTTTCTATGTTCAGAGGATCCCTCCTCTCAATGAAACAAAGTTTATCATGGAGAATGGCATTCCAATTGATTTCAAACCTATCAACATCATAGAAGTCAACTATGAGACACTCTTCAATCCTCCATAAATTAAAAAAAAAAATCCAAAGTTGTAATTTATCCTTCTGCACAATTACAACATACCGAAGACTTTGGTCCTTCGGTATCTGAAGACTCTTCAAACACAACTTCCACCTCTCCGATTCAAGGGGAAAGAAATCCCTTAATTCCTATAACAATCGCAACCATCGAGGTTCCATTCATAGATGAAGCAATCCTAGTTGTCAACAATAATAATTCAAAGAGTTCTGAATAATTTGAAGACTTAGAAGAAGATGTTGAAGAGATAGTGGTTGATGAAGTTCCTATAGTTCCCATCATTAAAAATGATTCAATCCAGGGGGGACCATCAACTTCACAGGGGATAACCTTCATCTTCTATAGAGAAAATCATTCATGATCAATCTACAGGAAGTTATCAGACTGAAGAAGAACAAATACAAGACGTTCAAAGAGAAACTCCTCCCAAAGTTGATGATATTCCATCAAATGCAAATGATGATCATCATTCAAGTTCCTCAAACTCAACAATTAGATGGTGAAAGTCGTGAGGTCATTTAAGGGGGAATTGTTAAGACATAAAGTGGCCCTCGACAGCTGAAGTGTGTAATCAATACTGCAGAGTTGATGATTCATAGCAACCGGAGAGGAGATAAGGGGCACCGAAGAGCCTTGTAAGTTGTTGAGCAATATCGGTGAGGAGAACTCTAAAGATGTTGCTCTTCCTTTTTCAGTGATAAAAACAATGATCAACTTTATGCTGACATTTCTTGGTGGACTACACACATCAGTCATGGGCAATAGGGCCGCCCAAGCTATGCTTATTTTAAAATTTAATGTGTAATGTTTTGTCCTATAAACAAATGATATTGTCAATCAATCTAAATATACTCTCCACTTCCGATATCTTTTCTACATAATCATTATATCAATATAGAAGTCGCTTTATCAAGATTATCTTTCATACTTAGTTGTTTATCATGTTCTAACTTGGTCTTGAATGCAAGCCTTGTTAACATTCAACTAAAGTGTAATTTACTTGCTTATATTTTAAGTAAACTTGCTGCTATATCTTTTCCTTATTATTCCGCAATCTAGTTATTGTTGAGCTTTATTAAAGATCCATTAATTCCGCACTTAACCCAATATCATTCAAAGATTAAAGCCCACTTTTAATCAAAAGATTGAGGCTTTATTGCTTTGTGCATTAGCCAATAGAGGGGGTATTCCAATCCGATTACTTGGGGTAGGGGTCTTGATCGGGTAATACTTTCGGGTTTCAGGTAATTCGAATTTTCATGTTAACAAAAATACTTGTTACCCGACCCAAATTATATTCGGGTAATTCGGGTATTACCCGATATATATATATATATATATATATATATATATATATATATATATATATATGTATGTATGTATGTATGTATGTATGTATGTATGTATGTATGTATGTATGTATGTATGTATGTATGTATGTATGTATGTATATATATGTATGTATGTATATGTATGTATGTATGTATGTATGTATGTATGTATGTATCAAGTAATCTTTTAGTAACTTAATCTAATCTATTAAGATGTTAAAAAAAAAACAAATACTTAAAGATCTTAGTTTAAAAGTTTAAAATGTTTAAGATAATTGTAGCCATAAGTTTTGCCATGTTTTGAAGTTTCGTCAAGAAAATGAGTTTGTTACTTGCAATAAAAACTATAATTTAGAAAACGGTTAAGCTTTAAAGAACATGGTGATGTATAAACAATTGCTTTTAATATTACTAGTGTCATATTGCCATAATAAAAGAGATTCATGTTTTACAATAATGATAGTTAATACAAGTGTGATCAAATATAGTACGAGTTCTACGAAAAAAAATTTGAAATAATTTCGGGTAATTCGGGTATACCTGAAACACAATAAACGTACCCTATAGCCGACCTGAAAAAAAAAATCGGGTTAGCTGAATAACTGAAAAAATTTACCCTGATATCTGATTATCATACCCGATTTACCTGTTACCCGAAAAAATCGAGCGGGTAATTCGGGTCTCGGGTATTTTCGACATGGCTAACTGAGGTGACCAGTGGATATAGGCATTCCAGTCCGATTAGTGATTGGGCCAGGAGTATTCCAGTCCGATAACTAAGTGGACCTAACATGCAATGTTGTATATGTTATGTTGTATATTGGTACTTTGTGGGAAATTCACCAAGCTTTGGCTTTCATCTTCAGTTTATTGTTTTAGGTATTTTTGATGACTATGGCAAGGCGAAGGTGTGATCGCACACATCCTTCGAAGATATACATTTTGGAATATTTTATGTTTTGATGTTGGGGTTTACTTGTATTAGACACTTGATGGTTTTGTTGGAATTGAAAATAGGGGTTTCTTTTAATTTGAAAAATGAAAAATAATTATCGTGATTTTTGGATGTTACACTTCTAGTAGTTAAACTGATTTCCGTCAAGTCATCACTTTCTACTATACGAACAACTTATATACCACACTCTCACTCACAATTTCACAACACTCCACTAGACTCACATTCTCACTTAAAAGTACTCTAACGATAGTCTCATTTAACATCCGCTAGGTCATACCTGAACAATGCTTACTACTACATGCTCACAATTTCATCATGGCACCCTTCTTCTACCTGACTTGAGGACTCACAGCATAATACCACTCTTATCCTCATCCCACACCAGTCACAAGACTGTTCTTGCCATCACCAAACTAACACTGTTAAAGATTTCTAACAATAACACGAAATGGGCGCCAAGAATACTGAATCGCATCAGGTGTTTGGATCATGCTTTGAATCCCAAGCCCCAATCAAATAAGACGAAGGGATCCTTGACACAATCATTGACTTGAGGCTACCCCAACTACCTCTAATATATGCATACTAATATCCTTAATCTTTCTTGTGTGTTAAAATTGAAAACCCGTTGAATCCTTATACTTAGGTCTCAAACCAACTATTGAACGACATCCCAACCACAACCAGTATCCTTCAAAGGTAACCGAACCCACAAAACCATCATTCTCTGAATACGGAACATGCCACAAAACAAGTTACTCTCCGCACTAGTATCCGATCCCCGATGGTCTTTTGCACATCTTTTCCTTTCCGAGCATCACCCGAAAAGCCGAAAATCTCGCACATCGGATGTAGTTGTTTTTAGGTATTCTCTACCACACTAGTGGTGTGTTGCTCCCTAAACTTTCATCCTAAAACTTGGATTTGACTAACTTTTACTACCGCCTTTGGTTGCTTAAGCCCCAAATCAGGATAAACAATCATACTAGTCTGGATTCGAAGGGACCATGGATAATATGCAATCTAGTGAGGATTGCGAAGAATAATAAATATGAAGAACTAGAAAACGAGAATAAATACGGAGAGATATAAAAAGTATGACCAAATCTAGTGAGGATTGCATGGAAGACGTGAATCTGTTTCATTATTGTTTCTTCATATTCAATCTTTTTGTCTTTTCGTCGTGATTGTTTTGTAGAAAAGAGTCCTCAAAAAGATATGTTGTCTTGCTTGTTTGTGCACTATATGGTCGCAAGGTCGCACCGATCGTAACCATCTTCGGCCCTCGTGAAGATTCGGTGAAAAATGAGGTGACATGGTCTCCGTTGGCTCCTTAAAGGTTTCGTGACTGCCTATGTAGGAAATTTAAGAGATTTTTGTTATTAACTATAAGTTTTAAATTTAACGATATAGAATTTACTTAATGGCATTTTACGCAAATATTTTTATGAATTTCAATTTGATTTTCGTACAATACAAGGCCTCCAAAATATAAGAATCGGACTGCAACTCCACCAATGAACTAAAATAGGAACAATCAAAGTATCGCCACCTAGCAATCAAGAACCAAGTGGACTTTGCAAAGTCACCACTGATTAAAAAGATGATCAACCATCTCCATATCTAAATTACAAACCGCACAAATAGCATAATCAACACCGATAGCTTGTCTTCAAAATTTACTCATGCCGGCACCTATTTTAATCGGAATCTCCAAGGTTTTTAAATAAATAAATAAATGCTTAACAGGGATTCATGGAGTAGAGAATTCAACCGCCAGTCCAGTCCCCATCCCATACTTGCTTTTCTTCTCTTCCTTATACTCACCGTACGATGGTTGAACACCATAACCCTGCTGCTCGTACTGAGGGGGAGCGCCATACTGAGGATAAGGATACCCTGATGGTGGTGCACCGTAGGGACGATCCCCACCGTAGGACGGTGGAGCAGCGTACTGTTGTGGTGGTGGAGCATTACCGTAAGCTGGAGGAGCATAATAAGACTCCCTCGCACGATAGTGGGGTTCCCTGAGGATGACTTTGACCACCACCTTTCCATGGGGGCGGCCGGAAGGACGCTTGACTTTTAGACTATCAGCGAAAGCCTCACCGATTCCGACCTGTTCAATCACATCCTTGAGCTTGAGCTTGGCGGATCCGACTAAGGGTTTTGTGCCCTCTTCGGCGTTAGCATGAACGATGTCGATGTAGAGAGTGGAGTCCTCGATCTGATCGTGGAGAGGGAGGGTGAGTTTTTGATCCCAAAACGGCGCTTCGTCGCCTTCTTGATCGACATGTGTAGAGCATTTGTTACTCGGGTCGACCCAGAGGACGACGTAGGGTTTGAGAGAACCGTGGCGCCAGTTGACGTTTTTCAGGTTTTTGGCAGAGGTAACCGTGACTTCCAGTTCGTAACGAGCCGCCATGATCAGATGGTGTAAGAAGGACAAGTGGTTAATTAGATGTATTCAAAGTGTTGGCATGGTGACTTTAAGGTATGTAGGTATTTATAATGGTTGCAAGTTGGAACTTTGTCATTATAGTCAAAGGATCGTGAGGAATAGTTGGTAGGTTAAATTACCATTTAATCCTCGGAGTAAATTAGATGAATGGTTTGTGGTTACTTTAGGGTAATCCGGGGGTATATTTTGTTCCTAATTTTTTGTTTCCTTTTTTTTTTTTTTTTTTTTTAATTCCGACAGTTTAGCCCATTTAATACACGAAAAACTATATTGACTTTATTTATATTTTTAATTAATTATTTATTTCTTATGTAAAATATAAGAGTTTTTGGGTTCTTGAAAAAAGTATTTATCATTTTAGTGTTCCTTGAAAAATATTTACCATTTTAGTGTTTTTCTTATTTTTTTTACTTTTTAGATTCATTTTCAGTTTTTTTGTTATTTTAAATATCTTATTTTTCTTTTTTTCTTTTTTATTCCATATACATATATATATATATATATATATATATATATATATATATATATATATATATATATATATATATAAATGACAGCTTTCATTTTAGTTTTTTTTACCCTTTTTTCCTGTTTTTTTTTTTAATATTCATTTTTCTTATATAACATTTTTACCAACAAGTTTTAGCTTCAAACATTAAAAAATCATCAAAAAACACTTCTATAATCAAATTTTAATACGCAAAAATTCCAACATTCACATACAATGTTTTTAAAATGAAAAAAAAGACATCTCAACATTGTTTCTTACAAAAAGAACACCACAAAAAGAAAAAAAAAAAAAAAAAAAAAACTCCAACATTGTTTCTTACAAAAAGAACACCACAAAAAGAAAAAAAAAACTCCAACGTTGTTTATTACAAAAAGAAAACCATCACAATTAGCTTGACCTTGAACCGGTAAAAAATCATTACTGTAAAAAAAAAAAAAAAAAAAAGAGAATAACCACAACAAATACCATAAAAATTATATATATATATATATATATATATATATATATATATATATATATATATATATATTAAATTACCTTGGCATAGACGGACATCGTTTTCGATTATGTCCCGGTTGCCTACAAATTCCACAAAGATTGACATTTCTTCCTTCTTTAATATCCATGCCATTTTTTAGTCTTGTTGAACGAGGACGACCTTTTTTATTTCGTAATAGTTCTAAATTTGGAAGTAATTCATTAAATGGTGATTGTGGCCAATACGCTTCATGAGGAAGCGGGGAGAACTCAGATGCCCAAGTAGCATAATAATATTCAATCGAGTAACATCTATCAACATATTGCCAACTATTCAAAGAGAGTTTGGCACATGCACTCAAGACATGAGAACAAGGATATTTAAATGCCTCCCATTTACCACATGTGCAAGTTTTTTGTTCTAAATTAACTACTTGCACATTTCGACCTCTTTGAGTTATCAACTCAAATATACCTTTTTCTCGGTTAAAAGATCTTAAGGAATGTGCACTTGCTTTTGCCATCAAAGCTACTTGTTTTACAACAACATGTGGAGTATGTGTATCTCCATGAGCCTGAGAACTAGATCCTAAAGGACGTCTCACCTCAAAATAATGCACCATTCTATAGAATGTAAGTTGCACACAAGCTGTGATTGGTAAGAAACGAGCACCTTTAAGTACACTGTTGAAAATCTCTGACAAATTTGTTGTGAGCAACCCATATCTCCTTCCACCATCATGTGCAAGTGTCCATCTATTAAGTGGATGACTCTCCAACCATTGTCGAGCACGTGGATTTAACTTCCCAATTTCTTCCATGATGGAGTTGAACTTTCGAATTTGATTCTGACTCCCGGCACGGTAAGCTAAAGCTTTCAATTATGAATTACGAAACTTGTCATAAAAGTTGTTGATGAAATGTCGTAAACAATACCTTAAAAATTAAAAATAATAATAATAATAATGTTAGTTAATGAAGCAAGTTATTGAAATGTCCTAAAAGAATAGTTAAGAAATATAACAATACCTATGAAAACCACGTGGCTCTAACCATGGAGATCCATGCTCATTGACAGCCTTAAGAATTCCACCATGACGATCAGATATTAGGCATATGCCTTCACGGTCTTTCACCACATGATTCTTGACATGAGAAAGGAACCAATCCCAAGTATCATAAGATTCATTTTCTACAATAGCAAATGCAAGTGGCAAAATTTGATTATTGCCATCAACTCCCATTGCAATTAGCATCTTACCCTTGTATTTACCATACAAGTGTGTGCCATCAATACTAATCACCGGTCGACAATAGTGAAACCCTTTGATAGAGGGAGCAAAAGCCCAAAAAACACGCCTAAATTCAACTTCATCCACATCGTTCGATCTTGAAACACACCATTCAACTATAGTTCCTGGATTGAACTTTTGAAGTGCACCTAGATATTTTGGTAAAGCGACATAAGACTCTTCCCAGTTTCCAAACACATGTTTAATTGCTTTTTGCTTTCCAACCCAAACCTTCTTATATGAAGGAGTATAGCCCAAATTTTCAACTATTTCAGCTCTCAAAGCCGGAATACTGATAGAAGGTTGCTCTTTTATAAGGTGTCTAGTTTCCATAGCAATCAAGCTTGCATCTAGGTTCGGATGGTCTTGAGAAAGATTATAGTGTAAACAAGTGTGTGGACCGGTATACGCTGTGATTTCAAAATAACCACTACGTTTACGTTTACTTGCATGAAGCTTCCATTTGCAACCTGATTGTAAGTACAACTTGCATCTTAGAGTCCAAATAGTTGGGCGTGACTTAATGACCTCAAATTGTCTATGTGTCCTAATGCTATGGATCTTGATTGCTCTAACAAGTTCCTCTTTATCCTTGAAAGAATCTTTTCCCAACTCTCGCGTAAAATCATTCTTACTCGTTGATTGTGTCATAATCCAATTTTCATCAATAGTCAAATTTGTTCCTTCCATATTAGTAAAAGTTAGGGGTAATTCAACATTATTGTCAAAAGATGTTTCATCATCATCTTCATCTCCAATTCCATCTTCCAATATTTCATTTAACTCAACATCATTGTCTATATTCATCAAATTAGTCACAACAGCAGCTTGAGAAATTATAGAAAAATTCTCATTGTCGATCATATCTATAATAGAATTCATCTACAAACAAACAAAAACAAGCAAAAATTGATCAAAAAATGATCATATGAATTTGTGATAACAAAAAAAAAGAAACATAATGCAATCAATTACATCAAAGATTAAAAAAAACAAGCTATGAAGATGGGGAGGCAAAATCAAGACATAAATTGATCAAAACAATAATCAATTCCATTTACAAAAGCAAATAATCAAAATAGAAATTGATCAACAATTCTTCCTAACTAGAAGCAAAATTGAGATAAATAAGAATAGAGAAGCAAAAAAGCAAACATAAACTTAACAATTGGAATCCAAAAGCAAACAGAAAACTGAGAATCGGAATCAAAATCGACAACTTCACATACCTTGCAGTCGTCGGCGACGATGGAGGAGGCGCAGCCAGCCGCCGACAGATAGAGGAGATGCAGCGGCCGGAGATGGTGGACGACGACAACACAATGAAGCAGCAAGCCCTAGTTTTTTTTTTTTTTTTTTTTTTTCCTTCGTTCCAGCGTTCCAAGCTTCAGGGAAAAACAAAACCGTGTTTTTTTTTTTTTTTCTAAACAATAATATTAGTATTAAAGTTAAATAATACCATTTTGGTAAATACTTATGAGATAACACTAATATGGGAAATACTTTTTGTGATAGCACTATTATGGTTAATAACTCTAAAATCTAATAGGTCCCTTATTTTGCCCAAACCCACCCTTTTTCCTCCCCCACACCCTTGGTTATGTTGGTTTTCTCTAGCAAAACCAATGTTTTAAAAACCGGTTTGAACCGGTCGGTAGAACCGGTTGGACTGAAAACCAGGAGAGAGCGGTTCAACCATCACCGGTTTTATATTGATTTTTGAATCGGATTGAACCGGCCGGTTTTTAGAAAAACCGGTTGAACCGATTAAACCGAATAAAAAGAAATGAAAAAAAACCATTTACATAATAAACTTTGGTAAATTTTTTCAAATCTATTTAGTTTTCTCTAAATAAAAACATATGGTAAATGTTATAAATCCTTTTGATGTGTTTGTATTCATCAAAAACTATATTTCGTTTCAGTATTATACTTTATTTTCTTTTTGATGTATATGGATTGATTTAAAACACTAAAACTTATGATTATATGTTATTTTAATCTATTTGATTCATGTACAACTTCTTTTTAAGTGTATTTTTAATGTTTGAACTTGTAAACATCAAATTCATAATTTCTATATGTACGTATGTGTAGGAAAAAAAAAACATGAAAAGTATAAAAACTGGTTCAGCCGGCAGTCGAACCGGTTAAACCGGTTGAACCGGGAACCAGGAACCTTACTGGTTCAACTAAAAAATCGGGTTTTAAAACATTGAGCAAAACCAACTTCAACAAGACCACAAATGAAACGATCAATCGAACACATTATATTCAAGTCCTTGGACCTACAAGTATGAGGATCCTTTCAAACCAAATAGACTAAAAGTACAGTCATCATACTCCATTCAGACCAAATAAAATTAAAAAACATTCAACTGACCAACCATTCAAACCAAATAGAAACAAAGTATAGTTAATCATCTTCATTCCAAACTCCATAATTTACACCTCTATTCGATTACATAAAACAATACGAATAAGCGTTCTTGGTAATTGAGGCGAAGTCTTAAACTACTTGGGTTTTGTATACTAATGGATCTTTTCGAAAGAGTGCATGTAGAGAGAAATTTAGTCATCTTCATATTATCATCGACCTCGATTCTCTAAATTTGGTCATCTTCATTGGTAAACTTTCAACATGCTTGAATTTGGTTATGTTTTTTATATGGGTGTTGCTAATAAGACACTTATTGGACACTCCATTGATCACTTTTTAAAAAGTCAATTAATAATTATTTGTTTAGAATCAGTTTTTTCAGAAAACAATACAATTTCATTCAATAAAAATATTTAAAAAATTAATTAGATATCTATATTATAATATTATAATATGGAGTTTCTTTTTAACGGATCCTTTTTACATGCAAACAACCTTAGTACGGAAACTTCTAATATGGATTCACATAGAGATGATTAGAAATTAAGGTTAAAGTACACAATACTCTATGAGAACAAGGCTTGTATATGTACACATGAAACCATATTTACTGGATGGTGGGATGTTAGGACCCACTAAATGCTTTTATAAAAATAAATAACTAAATAAACAGTAAAGGTATATTAAAAAATCTATTGAGTAATATAGTCATTTTATGGTTGATATAGACTATATGTGAAACAGTATCAAATTGTAAGGATGGAACAAGTTATAAACAAAATTTAAGTATTGAACATACAAATTATTGGAAATGATAGGGACCATTTGTGTAATATACTCTTGTTATTATTCAAAGGATCATGAAGATTGGTTGGCAAGTCAAATTACCATTTAATCGTTGGAGATAAAATAAAAAGGAATATGTGAAATTTCCAATGCAACCTTTTTAAAAATAAAAACAAATTATTATGCTTTCTACATTTTTTAGCGAGAAGCTATTATATTAATATCTTCTTTAATTAAATAACTATACCACAAAGCTTTTTCGCAAAGGTAATTCATTATAGCTTATTAGCAATTAACGTTTTTATTATTATTATTATTATTATTATTATTATTATTATAATAATAATAATAATAATAATAATAATAATAATAATAATAATAATAATATTTACTGAAAAATCTAATTTGACATATATTTACAATTACTATTTATCTTTATAATTATTTTATATTTTATATTTTTATATATATATATATATATATATATATATATATATATATATATATATATATATATATATATATATATATATATATATATATAATATCTTTTAAAGCGATTTGGTTTTTCACTTACATTAATTTTTCGTTTCAATACTTTTTATAGTTGTGTGAAACAATTTGGTCTTCAGTTTTTACATTTTGCTTTTTTATTTTCTGGTTATTCTTTTAATAAATATTATTAACTATAACAAAATTGGTTTTCAGATTTTCTTTTTTCGGTTGATAAATTAAATATGCCAATATCTTAAATTAAATGTCATTTACTAATTTTTTGCACTAAAATGTCGTTTAATAGTTTCTAACTGAGCACAGACAGGTTGAAGTTTGATTGAATCGACATCTCTAATTGAAACCATGTCACTCGTTTATGTGTCAGGTTGTGCTGATTGTTAAAAATGATCATTTTACCCTTAGGTTCTATTTTGTTAATCGTATAAATAAAGAACCAAAAAAAAAAAAAAAAAAAATACATTGTCATTTCGTATAGCTTTTAAAAAGAAACTAACCAACAAACTAAAATACATTGTTATGTAGTGTATGTACGAAAAAGAAAAAAAGAAAGTTTGTTGCATTTCAAATAGCTTTTTTCACCAATTTCTTTGCAATAACCTAGATAATAAAACCATCAGGCTAATTGCTCCACAGTTCAATATTTAAGAACTTTTTTGCATCACAATTCCGTATTTAGGAAAAACATGTTAACATTTTCTGGGACAGTAGTTGGTAAAAAAATATCATTTCCTTGATTAACCTTGTCCACTGCAGGAGAAAGTGATGACTGGTACTAGGCCTTTAAGGCTCAATAATAATGGCAGGAGGTTTCTTCTTGTTACTATGACCTTCTCTCTATTTTTCATC